TCATTAGTAGAGACTTTAAGACCTGAAGTGGGTCTGAAAAGTAAAGAGTTGTTAGAAAATAGGATGCGTGTCAGATGCGCGCCATGTTCAGCAGCGGCAGCTCCTAAAGCAGCCAAAATAACCTAATAACCCAGCTGCTGTGATATCTGTTAATCAAAGAACAGAAGAAAAAAAGAGAAAATCAATAACTTTTGTAGCTTTAAGGATTCATCTATATTTAATTTAGAATGTAGTGTTTGATAGCTTCATTCAATTTCTGTATATTTCCAACTTGCTGAAGGGCACAGGTAAATATGATATTTATTATAATGGGTTTATGTGAAAATTGTCATTTAAGTTCACTTAAATTAAAAGTTGTTATTTTTTAAAGTCTAATAAATGTTAAAATTGATAGCTCTCAATTATACTTTCATGTTGAATGGCTATAGTCAATGGTTAAATATTTCATACAATTTCAATTTCATAGAGACATCAGTAGTATTCATATCAGTGATACAATTAATTAGTTATGTTTTTAATCAATTGAAAACACTAATCATAATGTTCATTAAGAACATTAACTAACATTTTACATTATAAAATGCTTAGCAGATCATTGTGATGTTTAATGCTTATTGCATTAGTTAGAAACATCACGCAACATTTTCAAGAAACTTCTGTTTTCTCCTGCAGTATTTTCACTGACCCCCAGGGGTCTGCTGGGTTTAGATGATCTCTGTGGGTGCCAAATGACAGTTGAAAATAGCACCATTGCGTCTTTTTCCAATGCCCATAATGCTAAATCAAGAAGAATTGAGCAATCTTTTGTAGGATGATGTTTTTCACATTGGTAATTCTCTTAATTTCCATTTTATAATTACAGTCATAGTTCTCAGTGTAACCAGATGTAATAAATACCACAACACCCACTGTTCCAATTACTGTCGTGCTTTTAGATGAGGCTCACAGATCTGCTACAAATGGCAGACAGCAAACTTTACTCAAAAGACCGTCACTTTTGTCACACTTTCAAACCTGACTTTCAAAGCTACACGGTAGAGCCCGACAATCCCCATTCAGTTTCCATTTGCAGTGTCCCTCTAATTCAAACTTGAAGCGATTCATACTTCTATGCATGTTTTGCCCACTTTGATTAAAAACTGCATTTGGCCTTTGCAAACCAATTATTTCTCCTGGTCCTGTTTCTTTCTTTTTGCTAAGCAACATCAGTGCCTAGGCTCCTTCAAGGGTACATCACAAAACCCGTAAATGCTTAATAGAGGTAATTGGCAGCGGAGGCCTCCACAGTAAGAGTCAATAGCACTGACCCAGTGCTTTAATTGCCATACATGAATCAATATGTTTCTTAAAGGCTGAATAAAGAATAGGTTGAAGTTCTATTGACAGACAGAGGCGTGGAGACTTATGTTTCCCCACTGATCGAAATGTCTTCACGTTTTGTCAGACATAGTCTTGTAAACCAAAATAACCTAACACCCCAGCAGCTGTGATGTCTGTTAATCAAAGAACAGAAGAAAAAAAGAGGAAATCAATAACTTTTGTAGCTTTAAGGATTCATCTATATTTAATTTAGAATGTAGTGTTTGATAGCTTCATTCAATTTCTGTATATTTCCAACTTGCTGAAGGGCACAGGTAAATATGATATTTATTATAATGGGTTTATGTGAAAATTGTCATTTAAGTTCACTTAAATTAAAAGTTGTTATTTTTTAAAGTCTAATAAATGTTAAAATTGATAGCTCTCAATTATACTTTAATGTTGAATGGCTATAGTCAATGGTTAAATATTTCATACAATTTCAGTTTCATAGAGACATCAGTAGTATTCATATCAGTGATACAATTAATTAGTTATGTTTTTAATCAATTGAAAACACTAATCATAATGTTCATTAAGAACATTAACTAACATTTTACATTATAAAATGCTTAGCAGATCATTGTGATGTTTAATGCTTATTGCATTAGTTAGAAACATCACGCAACATTTTCAAGAAACTTCTGTTTTCTCCTGCAGTATTTTCACTGACCCCCAGGGGTCTGCTGGGTTTAGATGATCTCTGTGGGTGCCAAATGACAGTTGAAAATAGCACCATTGCGTCTTTTTCCAATGCCCATAATGCTAAATCAAGAAGAATTGAGCAATCTTTTGTAGGATGATGTTTTTCACATTGGTAATTCTCTTAATTTCCATTTTATAATTACAGTCATAGTTCTCAGTGTAACCAGATGTAATAAATACCACAACACCCACTGTTCCAATTACTGTCGTGCTTTTAGATGAGGCTCACAGATCTGCTACAAATGGCAGACAGCAAACTTTACTCAAAAGACCGTCACTTTTGTCACACTTTCAAACCTGACTTTCAAAGCTACACGGTAGAGCCCGACAATCCCCATTCAGTTTCCATTTGCAGTGTCCCTCTAATTCAAACTTGAAGCGATTCATACTTCTATGCATGTTTTGCCCACTTTGATTAAAAACTGCATTTGGCCTTTGCAAACCAATTATTTCTCCTGGTCCTGTTTCTTTCTTTTTGCTAAGCAACATCAGTGCCTAGGCTCCTTCAAGGGTACATCACAAAACCCGTAAATGCTTAATAGAGGTAATTGGCAGCGGAGGCCTCCACAGTAAGAGTCAATAGCACTGACCCAGTGCTTTAATTGCCATACATGAATCAATATGTTTCTTAAAGGCTGAATAAAGAATAGGTTGAAGTTCTATTGACAGACAGAGGCGTGGAGACTTATGTTTCCCCACTGATCGAAATGTCTTCACGTTTTGTCAGACATAGTCTTGTAATCTCTTGCTCACTTATTCTTCCTTTCTCTCTATTGTGTCGTTCTCCAAAGGGTCTCTTAGGAAACAAATATATTTTTAATGCACTGTAAATTGAGAACAGCATGTTAAACTCATCAGAGGCCTTGACTCAAACTCACTCTTTGGGAGCAGCTTGTTAAAGTGACAAAAAAATAATAAAAATAACATTGTGACAAAGCATTTCTAAAATGTAGAGCATCTTTTTAAAGAGCTTCCCCTATCACTCAGAAAGAGGATACCAGAGTGTAAGCACCCTCTTGATTTCAAACATATTCATTACATCACTTGCAATATATTCGCAAACATCAGTCTCTTGCAATTTATATGTAATAGAGCCACATGCTCTTCAAAAACAATTCTCTGACATTGTATTGTATAACACATCAGACTTCAGATATACTGCACAGTTATATTAAGATCAAATAGGGGGAGCTGCAGTGAATATTTGCTGTTACTGCACTATGCTCTGATCTGTCTGTGATTAAACTGGGATTTGATTTGTTGTGTGTGTGTGTGTGTGTGTGTGTGTGTGTGTGTGTGTGTGTGTACGTTTGTGTACAGTATGACTTCGTGGAGCTGTTGGATGGCAGCCGTCTGATAGCTAAAGAGAAGCGTGGACTGGTGAAGGTGGAAGGAGCAGCCAGGAAGGCTCGTTCAGTTAATGTTCATGAGGCAGAGTTCATCCGCTACCTGGACTCAGGCACCTGGCACCTCGCCTTTTACAATGACGGCAAAAACACTGAGCAGGTCTCCTACAACACCATCATCATAGGTAAATGATGACTATACATATCATATTATGTTGTTTTTATACATGTTTTTATTATATACAGCACTGTGCAAAAGTCTTAGGCCATTAGTATGTTTACCAACATAAAATGATTTTAAGCCAGTCATTTCTATCTTTTGCTGTAGTGTCAAATATCAGTTTACATTTCCAAACAAGATGCTTGAAGAAAATCTATTTATGACATTATTTTTGAAAGTATCCTCACTTTACAGCATTTTTACAGAAGTGCCTAAAACATTTCACATTAGCTTTGTAGGAAGGTTTCTTCAAGTGTCTTTGGAGATGTTGCCACAATTCATCTGGATTTAGTCTGCCTCCGTTTTTTCTGATTCTTCATGTAATTCCAGATGAACTCAATGAAGGTGAGATCAGATCTCTGTGTGGAGCACTGGCTGCTGGTAGACTCGTTGTGCATACAAAAACCTCACTGGATTATTACAATTAATGGCTAAAGGAATGTTTGGAAATGTAAACTGATATTTCCTACTGACACACTATAGCAACAGATAGAAATAACTGGAAATAACTTAAAACCATTTTTTGTTGGTAAGAATACTAATGGTATTAATACTAAGAATACTAATGGATCACATGATCATCAGGTTTTACACAAACTTCAAAATAAGAGTTCTTGACCCTTGAATGTTGTTGTCAGTAGAGCAAAAAGGAGGCATGCAAACTACTGTACTAAATTTTCAGTTAATTTGGTGTGCTGATAATATTATTTATAGGAAAACACGGTGTACAATATACACTTATAAAACTTTGAGGTAAGTCAGATTTAGAAGGAAAGAATGAAATAAAGAAAGAAAGAAAGAAATCCTTTATTGATCAAAACTAGCAGTAAAGACAATTATAATTAAACAAAAAATTAATATTTCAAATAAATGTTTATTTGAAACAAATTTTCTATTCATCAAAGAATTTTGAAAAAAAATCTATCATGGTTTCCACATAAATATTGAATAAGTTTTTGATAAAACAACAAAGTAATAACTATAACTGAACACCAAAAATAACTGACAACATCTGAGCACCAAATCAGCATATTATGATTTCTGACGGATCAAGTGACACTAATGACTGGAGTAATGGCTGCTGAAAATTCAGCTTTACCTTCACAGGAATAAATTACATTTTAAAATATATTCAAATAGAAAACAGTTATTTTAAGAGTATCAATATTTCACAGTATTACTGTTTTTACTTTTTCTAAACAGATGCAGCCTTGGTGAGCATAACGAACTTCTTTCAAATTCATAAAAAAAAAAAAAAAATCTTATGTATTCCAAGCTTTTGAATGCTAATGCGTTTTATAAATTTTTTAGCCTCTGTGTGAATATTTGTATGAACGGAGAGAGATAAAGAAAAGAGTTCACAGATGAGTGTGTATAATGATGGTCAGAGCTGTTATCGATCTATGTTTTAAGTGGCTAGTGGGCGGCAACTGATTCAAAGTGTTGCCTGATGACCTGCAGGACCTTTCCTCTCTCCATCTCTCTCTTTTTCTCACCTATTTTCACCTTCCCTTTCCCCTCTTTTCTCACATCCATCATGAACTCATAAAAATAGGCTTCAGCGAGAGTAATTTCCTTTCAAATTCGATCACAAAGACTAGAACATGAAAAATGATCAGTAGGACTGCAGCCAGCACCCTCTTTTAAAAACGGGTTGATTATGCTTCAATGAGTAAAAAGTTAACCTTTTGAAAATGAAAATTGATTATATCTCTGTAGCGAGATAATATGGTCCTGCAGTGGGGATGTCTGAGAGCTCTGCTAAACGCTTCAGTGGTGTCATAACAGCGGGCTGGTGACAAGAGACCGGTGCAGCTCATTATCTTGTCAGAATTGACTTAGACACCAATGAGCTGCTTCTTTTAATTAAAGTATCGACAGGTGATGTCACAATCATTGACGTCACCTTAGCAAGACACACAGCGAGAGAGCCAAAAAGAGTGTGGTAGCAGTGTGGATTAAATTTGTGATTGACTGTATAACAGTTGTGCATTCAGTAATTCAGTGATAACAGCTTCTCAGATCTGATTGGTTGAGCATTGTTCCTAGAGTTCTGGTATAATCATCCGATGTCCCTGGTACTTTTCACTGTTTATATCACTCTGCTGGTCTGTGTTTCCGTGTTCCAGACAAACTGGGTTCTGAGGACCAAAGGGGCCACAAGGGGGCCTGCAGAAAAGTTTGGAGGGAAAAAAATGAATAAACAAATAATAATAATAATAGTTAATATTTACAATGCTTGACATTATTATTGGTTGATTCTGCTAAAGACTGGTTAAATCATAAGATTCTGTGTATCATGGCGCAACACCCTTAGCAACATAATAAATTTAGCGTCAAAACTGTTCCATGTATTATGTATTTCAGCAAAATTAACTGTTTAATATTCATGTAATGAATTATGACCCCTGCTGGCATTATTTTGCATCATTCACCTTTAATATTGAGGCCACGCCCTTCCCCCATCAAAGAAAATCTTCTCATATGGGAGAAAGATGGATGTGTGTGCGTGTCTGCGTGGAAGCCCACAGTTTCCGAAGTGCGGAGGGAATGTTACTGTATTTATTATTTTTCAATTTCAGGTATGGTACTGTATGTCCATCAATTTACACTGTAATGATGCTTGCAAACTCACGTTGTGCCGTGTATCGGTCTGTTTTAAAACAACACGGAAAACAGACGTTTTCTCATGCTGAGAGATAAGCAGATGAATGTAAGAAAATATCATATATGGTGTTAAAAAAAAAAAATGACAGCGGATGAAAACAGTCCCTATTTTCTGTTTTTATTTAAGCTTCATAAGGTGAGGCATGTTAGGAACATTCTCTTGCCATTTACTGTCACTGTCAGGAACTGTTTTTTAGCGAAAGGATAGCATATAATGAATTTGCTTCAAAAAAGTAACATATCAATACATACATTTTTGGTTTTAATATTTGTATTGTGTGATAGCCGTTTTATAAAAGCAGTAAGGTACTCGAAGTGTGCTTACATTATATATTACACTTGAAATAAGGAATTATGTTTCACCAGTAGGTTACGTCGTTTCACCAGTAGGTGACGATAAATGACTCTATTTAAAGGGGTCATATGACGTTGCTAAAAAAGAACATTATTTTGTGTATTTGGTGTAATGAAATGTGTTTATGCGGTTTAAGGTTAAAAAAACACATTATTTTCCACATACTGTACATTATTGTTGCTCCTCTATGCCCCGCCTTTCTGAAACGTGTCGATTTTTACAAAGCTCATCGTTCTGAAAAGCGAGGTGTGCTCTGATTGACCAGCTATCCAGTGCGTTGTGATTGACCGAATACCTCAAG